AATGACACAAAGGTTTTGTTTAATTTAGAAATGTGAGCAAATTCAAAAAAAAAAATTCAGAATTAATTCTTGACGATACTACACTATTAAAACACATAAAAAATTTGTAAAATTCTTAGCTGCAGGAAAATTTTATAGGATTATATTCATTACGAGGATTGGTCTTTATACATTACCGAGAAGAATCTAGTATTTGCGTCAAAGGTAGCATTATTTAAAAAAATATGTAATATGAATCAATCAATAGTAAATTACATGACGAATATATTTAAAACTTTTGACACACAAATTAAAATGGAAGACTTGCTAAGTAATAATATAAGACAAACAGAAATTTTATTGATATCGAAACTGTGGCGATAGTGACAGATTCTTTCAATTAGCAAAACGAAATATAGAAGCTGAGTTAAAAAGTCTCGAAGTTTTATTGATTTTTAAACAAAATTATTTCTGTGTTTATAGATCGAACGCGCTTATATTTTGTTGAGTCCAGCTTTTTACTTGTTTCGTAGTGGATTCGTATTTGAAAATAATGCTTCAATGCTAACTTGACAAATTTGATCCCGTGACATTCTATTGGATCCTCATCGAATAAATGATCTCCAAAGCTATCAAAAATTGTACTGGACAAATGATTTAATGTTCCATTAATTAATCTTTCAATTAAATTTCTTTTGATGGTAAAAATATTAGTCGTTTTATTAAAAATTCTAAAAAAAACTTCCCCTTTCTTACAAATGTCCGCTAACAATGTTGATGCTTTTATCATAGATCCAAAAGATTTCCCGATCTGAAGCATTGAAGAACTACTGTCACTGACCATTAGTTCCTGACATCTTAAGCATGTTATGCATTTTCTTAAATTTTTAACAACATATCCTGATATATATGTCACTACATCTTCAGTGTAATCAGTCAAGTTCCAGGCACTTGAGTTAATCGATATTACATTTGTAGTTATTTCATCTCTGATCGATCACTGTAATTGATTAAACTCCTCTCCTTTTTCTAAACTTTCAAAATTTTCGTTTTGGACCAATGAAGTTGCGGATGATGTCAAAATTGTTATATTTTCTAAAGTAATGGCATTTCCTTGGTTTCCTGCACTGATTTCTGAATTAACAAGTATTCGCTTATATGCAGCTTCAAATTGCCTAGCCGTCGGATTGTTGTTAAAGCCGCCCTTGCTTCTAATGCATCCAAAAAATAATTCCAAGTGATCCTGCGATAACTTGTGTGTCAGTATAAATTTTAAAATACCCTTCTCTTTAACATATATATTATATATGCTTCTTAAGCTTTCCATGCATATTAAAAAGCCTAGAAAACCTACTTTTCTAAGAGAACTTAGAACTGGAGTGCTGTTAAGTGAGAGTTCTTTAATATATAGCTTAACTTTGTCAAAATACTGGAAAAATACTTGCTCAGTTTCAAGTGATAATGCTTTTTTATAGCAATATTTGCTCAGCAAACTTCTAGAATTGAAAATATCAAAAATGTTATTGAATATTTTTACAAAATTTGCTGTTGCTTTAGCATCTTTAAATTTTGGGTGCTTTAAATCTTCTGATAAAAAAAGCAAAGCATCAGACACACTTTTACTGAGGGTTTGGGTTGCCAATCGCACCTTCATTTTTTCGCGTGTCCAATTCAAATGCCTAATCCTCAATTTTGTAGCAGCGTGCAATCCCTCTAAATTTTGTATTTCGACTAGTCCCTGAATAAAATCCCATTTAATGAACTCTTGACGGTGTAATATTTTTTGTGAAGCAAAACAATTCCTAATTAATTTTACCATGTGGCTGGGGTCGACAAAAATGTAGACATCTGAATTGGTTATGGGGTGTTTAAAGCTTGTTTTTAAATTATCCGGATCCGTAAAGTCTGCACCCAAATGTTTGCACATCGCAAAATTTGATGATGCACCATCAAACGTTAACGACGTAACTACGACGCCGCTGTCACTAATAAAGCGTAAAGATTTTTTTACAAGTTCAGCCTATCCATATCCGATTGGAATTTTCCATCGTTCGTTCAGACAAACCAACATAAAGACAATTGCCTCCCTTGCCTCTGGCAACATATCGGAATCTATGTTTGCTCCAATGTCAACATACCCTGTAAATTTTGTTCCTGTCCATTCAACTTGCTTCCTGATTGACATTTCGTTCATTACTAAATTGCATAACAAAAGTTTATTGCTGTTTTTGGTTTTAATTTTTATCGCTGCAAGTGCTTCTTCCGTAAATCCTGGCGAACCATTAACTGAGCGATACCATTTGCTTATAGTTTTTAAATGTGGTAATGAGTAAAAGCTCGCGGCGAGTAAAAGGACAAGGTTAATGCAAACGATCTTAAAGAGTCCGTATACTTCACGTTTTTTTTGCAAATCATTCTTTCCAACAATTCTTTTGCCGGTACTGGTAGGGACGCCTGAAAAGAAATAAAAAACATAATTTCAGAGGAAATATTGTAATACTATATAACTACCTTGATATGATCTTCAGACCCTTCAGATATGTAAGAGTTTCTCTTTAAGTGTTGCAAGAGGTTCTCTAGTGTCTTTATTCGTCTTTTGCAATATCTTAAATTGTTCCTCAAAAGTCGGACTTGCTTGCGAGATTTCGCAAGCGTCGTCTTAACCATGTTAAGGCTTTTTCGCCTTCTCCTTGGCGTGGCAAAATCTTCGGAGTCCAAATCTCCAACGTAACGAATCTTTCTAAAAAGAACTCAAGAACTAAAGTAACGTACACAATTTTAAACTTTATGAAAGCTCCTTTAGTAATTTAAATTTTAAAAATTAGGAAGTGATTGAAGTTTACCGTTTTGTTGGATGTACTACGAATGACGCTTCTGTAGGAACGTTTTCAGTAAAACTTAAATCAGTTTCTGAGGCGGTGAGAGTGGTTGAAGACCTAGTGTCCGATATAGATGAATCCTGCTTGACTTCAGAAGGAGTACTAGCTTCTTCATGTACACTACATCAATATTAGTTTTTACAAGCATTAAATATAATTGGTAAATAAACAATGTGTATCAGCAAAATTGAATAGGTTGGATAATAATGAAATCTAGAGATGAAAGAGATAAGACGAAAAATATGTATGCATATATTTATATATGTAAGAATATTTTTTTTTTATAATTTAGATAAG